TTGTGGTTGTGGTTTTGATTGTGATTGGCTTGCTGTTGGTATGGATAGGCGGGTTGGCTGTGGGCGAGGCCACATCCGGCCGGAGGGAGCGAGTTCAAGTGGGCCGGTCGGGGGGAACAGGCGAGGTAGTTGTGTGGCGACTGTTCTCGTCCGGCTGCGGACAAGAGGCCTGGTCGAGACGGCCGAGCGCAGCAGGTCTGGCAGTTGTAGAGGCAGTGTTGTGTCGTCAGCTGAGGCCAATTGGCCGAAAAGTTGGCAGCGCTGTTGTGATTGACTGTGTTCGTCGCGGCTGTACCCGACCCTGTGGCCGTCGGCGTCGGCGTCGCCGTCGCCGTCGGCGTCGGCGTGGGCGTTGGCGTCGTCGGCTCGAGATCGTCGAGGCCGCCGGTCAGAGGCCCGACAAGCATGAGTCCGGTGCAGAGGGCGGACGAGTTGGCGGTGGGCCGATGCGCCAAATGGGCGATGCGCGACCGAGCCGGATAGCCGGTGGCGTCTTCGCCGACGGCCGGGCTGCCGGGCGGCCCGGACAAGTGGGCTCCGAGCAGAGCGCTGTTGCCCATGGCCAGGTCGGCCAGACCGGCCGACAGGCCGCGGACCGGTGCGCCGAGGTGGCCGCCGGCCACCGTCGGGCCCAGACCGCTGCCGCTTCCGCCGGCAGCGCTGCCGCTGCTGCTGCCGCCGACGCCGACGTTAGGGCCGACGTTAACTGGGCCGCCTCCGGGACACATGTCGCCGAGGCCAGCCAGTCCCAGACCGCCGGGGAGGCCTACGTCTCCGAGGCCGCCGAGGGCGGAGGAGTTGGTACAGCCGACTCGCCAACGGAGCGCTGCGTCGGAACAGTGGACGGACGGAGAGTCGAGGCAGCCGATTGGGCGCGACAACATGTCCCCCGGGAAACCGTCCTAGGACAGACAGTTTTGCACAAAATTTGTTATAGGCGTGGGTTTTACTAACTCGCGGGAGAGAAAATTAGTGTTGTGGTATGTGATATGAAGATTAATAGCTCCTAGGTCAATCTCAACATAGGAAGACACTTGCGAAGCTGTTCGTCACGATGCCCATTTCATCAAAAAACCGAGTTAGGATTCTCTCGTGAACTACGTCAAACTGAATGTAGCAGTAAAACCAAACGGTTGCAGGACAACTTGAGTCAGTCCTACGTCTTGTAGTGAGATATTTGTGAATAGCATAACTTTGTGTGCGAAGAGGAATTGGGTTCTGATGACTCGCTTCAGACAAATTCATAGTTGTGGCTTTAATGCTTTATTTTTCGTATATAAGTGGAGTTTCGAGACTACCAGTAAATCAGTAATATGACATGTATTCAGATACGAAGATCTCATATATAGACTCAATTAAGCAAAATAAAATCAGCAACCTCTCTCTCCTTTAATCTATCAATCAAGCAGAAGCAGTTCCCACTCAACTTTCTACTAACGTTCCTCGCATTCAACTTATTTTCTAAGTCATTAATGTCAATAGCCTCTCTTATCTTTT